CTTTCTTTGTCGCTTTAGAAACATACGGGTCCTTGTTTGAATTCGTCATTTTTAACCCATAAGAAATGGGTTTATTTGGCGCATTAGCAGGAGTCGCATCTAGATTTTTACCCGCAGTGGGAACACTAGCCAGAGGTGCATTTGGAATTGGAAGGAAGATTTTGAGTACATTAGGTATACTGAAAGAGAAAGCACAACCTATTATACAAACTGTACAGAAAGGTTGGGAGGTAGCACGAGATGCAGCAAATCTTATTCCAAATCCTGAAACAAGAGGAAAAGTTCAAGGATGGATGGACAATGTAGGAAGACAAGCAGGAAACTACTATAACAAAGCAAATGACTACTATAACCAAGCAGGGCACTATATGGACCAAGGTGAAAGATTCTTTAACAGAGGATATAACCATGCACAACAGTGGGTAAACAACAACCAACCTCAACCACCTCAAACTTGGGGAATGTAAAATTTTTTACTGAGATGAAATGAACAATACAGCATTGAGACAAATGGGTTCAAGATGGATTTGTCGGCTTCCAGCAGTTACACCACCACGTGTTTGTCAAGTTTTTCCTATACCTCAGGAAGTTTTAGACCGACTTAAAAAACAACAACAACCAGTTGAAAACAAACCAAACTAAAATTTTTTACTGAGATGAAATGACCGAAGAAGTTGAAACGGTAGATTTGACACCACAAACAAAAAGTTCAGAACCATTGTCAAAACCTGTCAAAGAACTTACAGATGAAGAGAAAAATTCAATAATAGAAAGTGCCAGGTCTGGAAATACAAACCCTAACTATAAAGTCACTTTTCATAAAAATGGAACGGCAAGTATCTCAAAAAAGAAACAGACTCTCACAAATAAAATATTGAAGTCTGAAGGAGCTTTCGAGACAACAGATGGAAAAGTTTACTTCACTGACCAACAGTTCATTATAGAACATCTCATTGACTTAGAGTCAAAATATTCTAAACTTTACAACAAACACAAAAAGTTGAAAGGAAAACAGAAACAAATGGCATATGACATTTATGAAGATGTTAACGACACAACCATACCAGCAAGTGAGGTAAAGTCAAATGAACCGAAAAGTGACGAAAAACCAATAGAAGAAGGGAAGCCAAAAACTGAAGATAAACCAAAACCAAAGTTTAGTCTGGAGACTAAACCAAGCCAACCTTCATTAGCTGGTATGGGTTGGCGTCAAAGACTTATGGCAGCAGGTGGTTATGTAAAGTAAAGAAAAAACATTTTTTTATTTTTATAAAAATGCCCCCATATAGAATGGATAGAAAGTCTGCTAAAATAAAAGCAGAGTTAGAAAGATATGGTTGGAGAGTTTCAAAGAATTTTAAATATAGGAAGGGAAGACCCATAAAAGTCTATGACAAATTGTCTGGTCTTCGCTATGAAATGGACTTGGAAACAGCACGCGCAAATTATCCAAACAGACTAGAGAGGTTAGAAGAAGAACGTCTTATGGACATGCCTTTCGATGTTAGTGAGCCTCAAGTTAAAGGACACGACGGCTTTGCCAGATTCTACTGGAAACATGACGAACAATTGTATCCTTTGAGAAGGAAAAAAGGGAAGGGTGAAGACGCACATGCTCCCATGGAAAGAACAAGATATGCATATGAAAAGTATCGTGAAGTTAGAAGTAAAATTGCTTCTGGTCGAACCTTTACAGTAAACTTTGACGAAGGAAAGAACAAAGAAGGCTTCATGGGTGTACTTGCTGCCATACAAGACGGAAATAAGAAAGGATACAATCTCAGACTAACCGTAACAGATTTAGATGGTCATATTTACTATGCACATGGCAATGTCACAACAGCCGCACAACTTCTTGACGCTTTCAAGACTACAAAGAGAGAACAAATGTTTGACTCCGACTCAGATATTTTGAATGCGATTGAAGGAATTGCAAGCGTGAAGTTCGAATGGTACCAACCCAACCCTCAAGCAGTCAGACAACATGCTGGTTATTTCCCGTTCAGAAATAAATCTGACATTAACCTGACAAGGTATGGAATTTATAATACAATTGAAACAATTGTCAATGAACCTTGTATTCTTACATGTCTCAGGAACTCTGGTCTTGTTACAGATGAGAAGATGAAGTATCTTGAGTCATGTGTGAAGACAAGGTACATTCTCAGAAGTCAATTGACAAAGATTGCACCGTTGGCAAATGTGAATATCCGAGTCAACATTCCGACTGAGAAAGGTTCTTCACATGACGACTATGTTATTGACTTCAAATTGCCATGGTTGAAGATTGTACTTGTCCACAACCACTTCATGTTGAACGAAAGTCTTACAAACCCATTGTTCGGAAAAGGTAAGTGCAACATTGTCAGAGCTGTTAACATTCTTTTCGAGAAAGGCTTGTTGGAACCAATTCCAGATGACAAGCTGACAGAAACTTTTGTACCAAAAGACGAAACAAACTTTTCATTGTTGGTAAGACCAAAAGTTGTTCCGGACAAAGTTATAGCACAAAAGAAGTACACAGCTCCAAAAGGAGTTGGATTGTTCGGATACCAACCTGAACCAGAAGAACTTCCAATGAGGTTGCAAGAACTTCAAGATGCTATAAACAAACTTCCATTGAGAAATCCAATCGACGTCAAATTGTATTGGAGAGCATCTGAGTTAGGTCAGAAGGTTTTATATGAAACAGGTTGCTTCGACGATGTTTATGAGATAACAGGAGAAGTTTCTCAGAAGATAAGAGACTCGCTTGAATTTCCACGAACTGGGCCGATTGGTTGCGACAAGTTCGACTCATATGAAAAAATATACTATGTCGACCTTAACGCTGCGTACATGAGGTTCGTCCAATATATCCCGACTGGAATTCCAAACGAAAATGGCGAGTTCCCGGGAAGGAACTATACAGTTGGAAAAGTCATACAACAACTCTATGATATTAGGAAAGCTTCAAACCCCAAACTTGCAATGACAATCAAATTGCTTATGAATTCGACATGGGGATATTCCATTAAGAAACCTCAAAAGATGAAGAGTAAACACTATGAGAAGGTCGACAACTTTGTTGAAAGGTTCTCCCCTTTTGTTTTGAAATACGAGTTCACCGAAGGTCAATGTGGCTTAGTAACCACAGTAAAACCTATTGTCGAACATTGGTCTTATCCTCAGTTCGCAAAGGCAGTCCTTGACAACTACAACAAATTCTTCTCAGAGGTTAAATCCAAAGTGAAGGTATACTATGAGAACATTGACGCACTCATGACGAACGAAGAAGGCTATAACAAACTCATTGAAATGGGTTTAGTCGGTGAAAAGATGGGCTGTTTTAAGCTAGACAAGGTATTTTCCGAAGTTCATGTAATATCGAAAAGGAAGTACTGGGGTGTTAAAGAAGATGGTGAAATAGTTAAACATTGCATGAAATAAAACATTGCATACCATTTTAAAACGTTTTTAAAACAGTATATTTTTACATATATAAAATGCTTCAGGTTGAAAAACAAAGAACAAAAGCAGCAGATACAAAACCGTTAGACTATATCTTTACAAACGCTGGTAGGACTATATCAGATGAAGAAATTTTATCCCGAACTTACAGGTTTGACTATCCAATTCGTTGGCTTCAAAGTCCTTCAGATGCAAAGGCAATAGGATTTAGAAGAGTTTTGTTTTCAAATAGAACTAACGCGTTTATGTTCGCAGTATATTTTCATGGGCAGTTTAAAGGTTCTGATGGTCTAATAGAAAAATTTGATGAAATGAAAATCTTTACAATTCGTTCAGACGAAAGTCTTGAAAAAACTCTAAATGACTTTCAAACTCAAATAAACAAATACTACTGGGAATTTCAAGAAAAATACGACTCTTTACTAAATGGAACATACTATCTGAAACTAGAATATGACAAGATGAACTCCACCGTTTCATTTCAAAAGATTGAAATTAACCCTCCAAGAGATACAGAGTTTTTATATTGGGGAGTAGACAAACGTTCTTGGGCACAATTTCTTCGGTTACTAAACCAGAACGAACCATTGCCACCAGATGGTCCATTTAAATTTATACTTCCACCAGCAGATTTGACAGTTTATAGAAACGTGTTTGACCCTCAAAATGTCATGTGTCATGCAAGTTTCAGTTCAAGCAACAACAGTTTTCTGTGTATCGGTAAGGACTTTTATGACTTTGCTTCTAAATTCTACGAACCACCTAGTAACAGTTTCTCTGACTTTCAAGTCTGGTTCACAACAAACGGTGTGCAGCATATTATACCACTGTACTATGACTTTTATCTCGAATTGTCTTTCATATACAACTACGGAAAAGTGCTGAAAAAGTATTGAAAAATATATTTTAGATCTCACCAGGTCCCTCGGTCCCTCGGTCCCTCGGTCATTTTAACTTCTCTGAAAAAGTGTGACAACATGACATTTAGACAACAACACAGGAGATAGATTTCACCCGTTGAATTTTGTATAAAAAAGCAACCGCCGGAATTCCGGCGGGTGGTATATTCTTCACAAAATGCTTGTTTTGAGGTCGAGCCACAAACGAATGTCCGACGGTTAAGCCACAAACGAATGTCCGACGGTTAAGCCAAAAATATTTTTTATTTTTATTGTAAGAACTGAAATGACAGTCGAAGCAAAAACGTTCACGAACAAATCTAATGGCGAAACATTCACAAAAGGCACTTACAACGGTATTGAAGTCTTACGTAGAGACAAGGATGGTTATATAAATGCAACAAAGATATGTCAGCAGTTTAGGAAAGACTTTAGAAAGTTGTTGGAAAATAAGTCCTGGGAAGAGTATTTTAAGGCATTTTGTGAAGAATATACCACCCGCCGGAATTCCGGCGGGTGCTTTTTATACAATGTTAATGCAGGAATTCCGATGAAATCAAACAGGTTAGAGGAACGTATGTAGACCCAAGACTCGTAAACTATATAGCAATGTGGGCTTCTCCAAAATATTGCATAGCAGTTGGAAAAATTATGGACTCCATAGACAAGAAAGTTCATGAGAAATTAGATGAAGAAGAACTTGAAGATACAGCAGAGAATGCAAAACCTTTGTTCGAAGAAGAAGTTAGAAAAATGCATGAAAAACAAATAGAACATGAACATGAGATATGTTCTGGTTATAGAGACTCTCCATACGAACTAAACCAATGGGAACAAGAAGATTTAAAGAGAGAATTTAGAGAATATGAACTCGCTAAAGTTTCATTAGAAGCTGCAGAAGAGAGGTTAAAAGTTTGGGGTCCTTTTGTACAAAAATATTATGAGTAAATGAACCATTTTATTTTTATTGAATTCGGCAAAAATATATTTTAGGTTAGATGGTTTTTAGGTGTCACCAGGTCCCTCGGTCCCTCGGTTAAACGAACTTCTCTGAAAAAGTGTGACAACATGACATTTAGACAACAACACTGGAGATAGATTTCTTCGTCAATGTTTTGTCAAGACTTTCATCGTAAATGTTTTGTATAAAAAGCAATAGCCGGAATTCCGGCGATTGGTATATTCTTCACGAAATGCTTGTTTTGTTGAGACTTTCATCGTATATGCTTTGTATAAAAAGCAATAGCCGGAATTCCGGCTATTGGTATATTCTTCACGAAATGCTTGTTTTGAGGTCGAGCCACTTTTGGCTCCACCTGTTTTTTCAACCAAAACTCATTTTACTCAGCAAAAATATATTTTAGGTGAAGTGGTGAGATCTCACCTCTTTTTTCACCTGTTTTCTCACCCGTTGAATTTTCATGAATTTTCCCGAAATAAAAAAGTTAGTTTTTTAAAAAAAATATTTTTTATTTTTATTGTAAGAACATGTTAGCAACAACAGCACCAAACTCGTTAGTCATGAACCCAACATCTATGTTAGTAGAGATGAAAAGCTTCATTCCTTCTTCATATACTTTCGAAACAGAAATCCAGAAGATAAAGCAAGAACTTCTCCAAGGAGATTTAGACTGTAGTGCGAAAGATGAAACAAATGAACAATATCTTTATGAAATGCAGGATATTATTGAACATCTACCTAAACTTCCTGAAATACAACAACAAAAGCTTACTATTCCAGAATTCGATGAAATAGAAGTGAAACCAACTGACTCAGTAGAAACCAAGAAGTTCATACGTAAGGTAAACTATGAGTTTCTTGGATTTCATTGCAACCACAAAGTCATGGACAAAGACTGCGATATGGTATATAAGAATGTTTCTGACATATACAAATCTGAAGAATTTAAGACCTACGACAACTTTGTTTCGTTAGTTGCAAAATGTGTATGGCAGATAAGAGATAAAGATAAAAGAGGTAAAGTATGGAACGAACAGATAAAACCAGCAACTTTTGAGTTAAAGAAAACCATTGACGCCTTAGTTGTTCTAGCTGGTTTTATTTCAATGTACAATGCTAAAATGAACCCACAATGTTCAAAATGTAAAGCAGCAATGAGGAAATATAACTACTCCGTCAAAGAGATAGAAAGAATGAGAAACGACTATGCAGATTTAAAGAAAGAAGCAGAGAAACCAGCAGAAGATAAAATGGACATGTTGACATTTCTAAACAAAAACTATCCAACAGCTGACGATTTCCTTCTTTCAGATGTCAAGAAGAAATATAAAGAAACCTTCGGCATTGTGAAAACTTTTGACATACTGACAGAAGAAATAGAAGCTACAAAACTGTTTAGAATTTCAAATATACATCGTACAATTCATGTAAAACGTTTGTGAAAAAGAGGTGAGAAAAGAGGTGAGAAAACAGGTGAGATCTCACCACTTCACCTAAAATATATTTTTGCTGAGTAAAAATGACCAAATTTCATTATATAACTGTTATGAGTGACGAAGAGAACTTTGACACTTCGTAAAAAAAACATATACGAAGAAATCTATTTCCTGTGTTGTTGTCAAAATGTCATGTTGTCACACTTTTTCAGAGAAGTTCATTTGACCGAGGGACCGAGGGACCGAGGGACCTGGTGAGATCTAAAATATATTTTTGCTGAAAAAAATGACCAAATTTCATGAATTTCCTCATATGTTTGCTACCCCGAGAAAAACCGGGGTAGAGATTCCATTCGAAAATCGTAAAAAAACTCTATGAAAATCGTGAAAAATTGCGACCCGCGGAAAACCGAGGGTCGAGATTCCATTCGAAAATCGTAAAAAAACTCTATGAAAATCGTGAAAAAATGCGACCCCGACTTTTACAGGGGTCGCCTAAAACTCATGAAAATCGTGAAAAAATGCGAGTGGGAGAAAAACCCTGGTCGCCAAAACTCTATGAAAATCGTAAAAAAACTCTATGAAATCATATCTTTTATACAAGATAGAAAAAATAAAATTAACGCTAGTTTTTTTAAAATATTTTTTTTTATTTTGTATGTAAGAACAGGAAATGACAAGCACTGAGTTTGAAACAGTTAGAAAGATAGACAATGAGACCAAGGTGGTTAGAATAGGTGATTTAAACGTAAGATACTCAAAGAAATACAAAAAATATTCTTTGTCAGACATTTTAACACTATCTGAAGGAAAGAAAGCACACGACTGGGTTAAAAATGCTTCAACTCAGAAAATTTTGACAAAAAATCCTGAGCTTATGATATCAGTAAGATTCTATGGAACAAGAGCATATCTTATAGACAAAAGTCTTATACCAGTAGTTTTGTTCTGGATTGACCCAGTTGTTGGATATAATTTCATAACATATGGTTCATTCGATACGGAACGTTGCTGTGAAGGCTTACTTTACATCGTTCAGAAACCGAAGGACTTCAATACAAAGAGATATAAGATAGGAAGAACATTTAATATAACTCAAAGATATGACAGTATAGTCAATAGAGTTAAGGTTGCGTTTGTTAACGATATGAGAGCTGCTGAAACAGAACTACTTGAAAAGTTTGAGAAAATGTATGGTGCTCCCACGAGAGGTAAAGAAACGTTTGAAGTAGATGAGATCGACAAAGCTATAAAAGTATTTGACGAAGTTGCTGAAAAATACATGTAAAGCGTTTATTTTTGGTCTTTTATACAAGATAGAAAATAACGCTAATTTTATTTTTTTTTATTTTTTTATTTTGTATGTAAGAACAGAAATGTCAACATCAGAGAAGACAACAACTGCTATCGTTCATGAAGATATAAATGAAGAATACGAGTGGGTTCAGTATAACAAACAGTTACGTCTCATTCGTTCGGTCAAAGATGACATGTACCAAATGCAAAGTATTTTGAATGCTCTTCGTTCTACAAAGCAAGCATACCATTGGTTTGAAAACCAACAGACAAAAGAACTTTTAGAAGAATTTCCTCATATGTTTGCGACCGGTAGAAAACCGCGGGTCGAGATTCCGTACGAAAATCGTCAAAATTTGCCAAATGGTTTGAGAGGTTGGTATGTACATAGACTTCTTGTAAATGCTGTTGCAATGTGGGCTTCACCTCGTTACGCTTGTTATATTTTCATGATGTTAGATGAAATTCATAGACAAGAACGTGAAGAGCTAGAGAACAAGCTTGAAGCAAAAGACAAAAACATACAGAAAAGAATACCACGTTCGGTACCAAAAGGAAAGGAAAAGAACTATAAGTATATGATTTACACTGAAGAGATGGAAAATGAAGAAGACAGAGATATGGTTATTTTGCATTTAGTCAGAAGAAACAACAAAAGCTTTTACGACCTTGCTAAGATTTACAAATCTGACAGAAATTGGTTCTATCGCGAAAACTTACCGATTTCAATGACACCAAATGAAGATGTTAAACAGATAGTTCAAGATACGTTACCTCAAACACACTATGATATGAAAGGTTGTACAATACTTACATTCAAAGAAGATTTACCGCTACTGAAGGAAAAGATAACAGAGTATTTTGACAACTTCAAAGAGGAAGAGTAAATGAACCATATATTTTTCAAGCTTGACACCAAAGATGGCTCAGGTAGCTCTATAATGTAAATTGCCTCATCTGCTGGGTCTATGTCGGTCATTGTTTCAAGACAAGTCTTTTACTTTTTCAAGACAAGTCTTTTACTTTTTCAAGACAAGTCTTTTACTTTTTCAAGACAAGTCTTTTACTTTTTCAAGACAAGTCTTTTACTTTTTCAAGACAAGACCCGTTATTTTTCAAGAAATTTTTTGGTGTAAAGTTCTCAAATTTGAGAACAGTGGTCTTGATTGAAGACGATACCCGTACTTTTTCAAGACAAGTCTTTTACTTTTTCAAGACAAGTCTTTTACTTTTTCAAGACAAGTCTTTTACTTTTTCAAGACAAGTCTTTTACTTTTTCAAGACAAGTCTTTTATTGTTTCAAGACAAGTCTTTTACTTTTTCAAGACAAGTCTTTTATTGTTTCAAGACAATGTCCGACGTACCACCAACCGAGTCCATTCCAAAGCCAGAAGAACCGACAGCCCCAGCACCACAAGCAGACTAAGACTAACACTTACATTTTTACGCTTGACTTTTTACAATTTGAACTTTGTTCGCGTAGATGTGAATTCTGAAAGAAGTATGAGGGTCTTGTATGACTTTGTACTTCTCCCATAGTTCATGTCTGTCAAACTTACCTGCCATGGACTCTTTCATAAGTTCCATGAAATCGTCTTCGGACAATCCGGGGAAAAGTATGATATCAGTAAGTATTCTCTTTACATCCTTACTTAAACTCTTGGCTGTCTGTACACAAATGACAACTGAAATGTTAAAGTGTCTGAGCTTCTTAAGAATTCGACACATGTCTTGTTCTCTATTCTTTAACAAAGGATGAGAAGCAAAGTCATCTAAGATAAGAAGACATCTGTGAGGGTAAGTCTTCCAATCGTAAGATTGCAATTTCTTCGAAATGTATTCTATCTCTTTCTGTTTGTTTCTGAAGTGTTTCTTCTCTAATATTCTCTGCATTTCCTCATTTGGGTCTTTAAACTTCGAGTTTATTACTCATTTATAGCATTGTACTTCAAAACTCTTCTTTGGTACTTCTTTATCCAATCTAACAACTCAGAGTCTTTTATACATACTAACTTAGACTTTTTTATAATATCTTTGAACGAATTGACGGTTTGGTCAAATTGACCAGAAGTACTACAAATGACTACTAACTCATAGAATGGGTTCTTCTCATCTAGTTCTTGTTGTTGTGCAGCCATTTTAAGATAAGTGAAAGTCTTACCCGACCCAGGCGGTGCGATTAGACCTGTTATACCATTCTGAGCAAATAAGAACTTGTCATGTATGGGTTTTATCTGAGCATTTTCCAACTTCCTCTTGTTCTTGTTTAAAACATTCTCAAATTTCTTGTCAATGTCAGCAAACTTTTTTTCTAACATATTTTTAGAAAAATTAAAAATTTTATCTTTTAGGAAATGTCTAGCGATTTCGCTATCTATATTCGAGACAAGCTTTTCGACAGCAAAACATCTGTCGACCATAAAATCTTACATAGTGTAAACAAGAAAGGTGAATTTGTTCTAAAGTTCTGTTTCTGGGAATATGACAAGAACCATAAAACCTTAAGCAGAGAAGTCTTAAAATTTGTCAATGACAGACTTGTTGACAGAGATGACGCCTCTTGGAGAGATGAAGTCCAACAAAACTTCTTAGAATGCAAAGAAGACACATGCGCTGTTCTTGAAAATGAAATAGAAAACAGAATAGAAGAGCTATTAAATGACAAAGCACTTTTACAAAAATATGGTTCTGAGAAGTTTGACATAACTCCACCAGAGAAGAAGAAGAAGAGAGAAAAGAAGGAAGGGAGAGTAGAAGAAGAGAAGAAAGAACCAGAGCCAGAGAAGGGGAGATATGACATGTAAAAATAAAATTTTATTTTTAGAACATTTCTGGGTCAATGTCAATGTTCTCTTCCTCTTTAGGAGCAAACACTGGCTTAGACTCTAAAATCTTTTTACCCAATTTACCTTGAACTTCAACTATCTTAGACTCATAATATTCATAGTCGTCTGCTTTCTTTGGTTCATAAGGTATAACAAGTTTGTATGCTTTGCCTTCTTTAAGGTTTGAGAACCTTCTGTCAAAACTTTCTTTGACTGTTAACAAACCTTCTATGTCTAAGTCTTCAAATTTCGCACCATTTTTAGTCACAATAGCAAACTTAACTGGTTCGATGTTCCAAACTTTGTCAAATGAAGACTTTTCAAAATGGTAGAAGTAAACATTCAAATATGTGAATGGGTCTAGTTCTTCTTTAAGTCCTGACATGTACTTGTTGACTGAGATGAATTTCGTCATCTTTTCTATCGGATAAAAAAATATTTTTTTTAAAATTTACTCAGAAAAATTTTTCTTTGTATATACACCATTCTGTACGTCTAAAAGACTTTTGACATTTGCCAAGAATGTTCGTTTAGACGC